CCGTCACTTTGAAATGGAGCTATCTTTGAATGAGTAAGTATAGGTCCTGTCGAGATTTCTGCAGTGTCTGGGAACATACTACTGGCTGTACCCACGGACGCCGCGGAATTTTGCTAAGCCGTGCTGGATGTGCAATTTTCTTTTGGAATACTGTGTTATACGTGTTTTCTGTGTGTGAATTCTACACCAATACAGTTCTTTTGGTGTATTGTTTTATCTGTGCGAATTTGGTGAATATCCCCTGGCTACTGTCGGAGATCTCACTGATCACCCAACTACAGGCGGTGTCCGCCATCTTAGATTGGTTCTACAATGGCACGTACCTCTTACCAGCGGAAAGCGAAGCCTAAAGCTACCGAGATGAACGTTAGTTGCGGCATTCGCAAATGTGTAAAACTTGTGCGGTTTGGTATTGAATGCAGTAGCTGTCGAAAATGCTTCCATCCTCGGTGTGCGCGCCTTAGTACCAGCCAGATAAAAAAAACCATGATACGACCGATTCTCTCTGGTTCTGCATTGAGTGTTCATCCCTTCCACTCGTCAGATGTATAACTGTGCTAGCACAGAAGTGCGATAGGTTGTCAAAGATTGTAGAGCAAGCAACAGCAGTGAAAGCTGTCCCATATGAGCCAGATAACTCTGTACATAAAGATCCATGCTCAACATCATGCTCCAATACGGAACGGTGTAAGAACAATGTTCCAGTGTTAGTCACCGCGACAGTAGCGGCTGCTCATAAAGACGCGTTCACCGCGCACTCTCCACCAGAACCACCCACCACGCTGAACGCTGTTAAAGGGACGACAACATACGCGTCCGTTGTCACTACTCATACGGCTGAGGCCCCTTTCATCGTTACGCAACCCGCTGGCAAACAAGTTAATACTACCTTTACCACCACGGGACTCAAGACCTCATCATCTACCCAAGCGAAAAAACCAGTTACTGGTCCTCACAAGAAGGTGGACATTAAAAAACACCACAAAACACCGACAAAGCCATTGCAAAATGTTATCGAAACGTGCCCGCGCGTACATTTGTTATTTCCTCATAAATCGTGTACGCAATTAAGGAATCGCATTCTGTAAGCAGAAAATATTGCCGTCACGGCGCATGTGAAAAGTAGAATTTTCACCAAACTAAGCAGATCGTGACCGGACAATTATGCGCACGAATCACGCAGACTTGAAGTCATCGTGCAAAGAGAAAAAGCAGCTACCAAACAGAATAAGAATTTTGGCAAGTGCACTAAAACTTAAGTCCTCGATTCATCTTGTCTTTCCTACCTAGTCGTTCACTGCGGGGTAACGTTTTAATGTCAATTGCAGGCAACTGGATCACTGGAAGCAGTGAATGGATGCTGCCTCTCTGTATTAAATTGGCCTACAGAATTCGGGTGAAGAACAGCCCAGATTCAGCTTGCACTTATCAGGACAAATATTTCAAAACCTACGTTGATACATAGCAATTGTTCAAGTTGAAAAGAGGACAAAATGAAAAATTGTGAAGGTATGCAATTTGTCAAACAAGCGTCAGCACACCGAACCTCTCCGGTTGGAGGTTACACGCGCAATTATGAACGACGCACAAACACACACCACCCTCACTCGCATCGATGTTGGCGGTGTATACCATTTCACAACTGACAATTTCATGTTGACTTTCATCCGTAGTGCAATAATTTGCATCCTTAGCTCACAAACTCTTGCTATCGTCACGAAAATTACATCTACGACGTTCTCAGTGAGTCAGCTGGCCACTCGCCTTAAACGGACGTCTCGTTTGCTCACTCAAGCCATCCGCTCGTTTGGGTGCGCACCAACATCGGACAATATGGGGGCGGAAACAGGGATTTGATCACGAACTGGCTCTAAAACCCAAAGCCTAGGTTGAGAAGGTTAGACAAATTCAGCATGGTACCGGAGAAAAGCAAAGGTTGCAACGAATATCTCTTCAATATCTCCTCTCCCCATAGATCGCGCCTTCTGGCTTGCTCTAGCGCGTTGAGACTGGGGTCAAAACGGATTCACAAAGAAGGCTTGTGTGAACATATGAGATATTAGTTTGAGGTGAACGGGCTGCTGACTTACTGGGGATGTCGTGGATGCACGTTTCGTGAATATCGGACAATAGATTTGGCGCAAAGGATATAAGATGATGCACTACTGATACGAACAATTGATAAGTGGTATAGTTGTACTGTTAGCTGTTGATTGCGGTATTTCCCTTACACGTGTTTTTCCTACGCTAGAGTCAATGGCTTAGCGAGGTTATGTCGCATTTATATTAGGTTCAGCTGTCTGACTATTTGTGCGTAACAGAATGTAGACGAATCTTGGATACTCTGTCCTGTGATACGTTCGTCCCGCTCAGTGATCCTTTCGCTGTGATTCCAGCTAACCTTTCCCCAACCTTTTTCTTTTTCCAAATGCAAAGTTTTTGTGCTCTGGCTCTCCTGCTAAATCCGGCGATAAGATATCAGCTCAATCTCACATTTCTTTGTACTTAATCAGTTTGCCTCATCCCATTTAGTCCCCAACAGGTTAACCTAGCTTACTCTTCTGAACAAACTCACTAGCTCTTGATATAATAACGCCCGATGTGTTATCGGTGCTCTGGGGCATTTCAATATCTACACCTTGCACCATTTGAACAGCGATGTGTAGACTTTTGTTACATTAACGTCACGAGTGAGGTTCATGATATCTCGCATAGCACAGCCGAATAAACCATAAATCTCGGCTGTTTCAAACACCACTTACCATCGCGTAATTATCCTTAAATGGCCGTTTCATTAAGCCGAACGCTTAATATGCCGCGCATATTTCATCGAAATTGACGATCGGTTCCGTTAGATAATTTCATCGATTGTCGCTTATTTCATGCTTCTTTGTTCAACAAACTCAGAACACACAGAACGATTAGTTACAGGCAAAAAAGCCAACATTAATTGGCTTTTCACTTGGTCTGGAAGATTGTGGAATGCATTATGGTTGGAGCAATAGTTTGTTCTAACAGACCAAAAAAATATGTTGAAATATCCATCGACACACTAATGGTATGCAAAATCAGAATAAGACATGTAAATGGTCAATGTCTAGTGCGTCCAGAGAATTCAAAAATGTAACCAGGTCCGCGGTAATGAAATTATAAATGAACAAATCCACGGAAGTATCACTCATGGTGGCTGGAGAAAATTATGAGACAATTTTGTAATTATTCAGCAGCGGAGATGGTATCAGAGTGCATAAAACTGTCTACTTTCAGGCTCATATATGTCACCAAATATGCTGGGAAATGCACTGGGGTATATTCTATTTTACTGGAAGTCAAGATCAATGCATTATTCTCCAAGTGAAGCTGCACAGAATTATCCACGCTCCTTCGTTGCTGAGCATGATCATGACTGATTTCACAGTGTTCGTATGAGAAGACTTGAGTCCAGCACTAGAGGGCAACACATAAAAACTTGCAACCCAGTAAGCTGCGAGAAATCATGAGACTAATCCAACCCAAACTGACCAAAACGAAGATTGCTATCTGGAGCCTACAAATGTAGTGTCCAATTACCCATCAAATGTTTCAAATGCTAACATATATCAACAGCGTGAAAAGGCTACCTAGTCTGTTCACTTTTGCCAAAGCATAAAGGCATCAACTTAACGTCTGTGACAATAGCCGAAATTCGAGGTATTTGTTGTCCAATGGAAAAAGTAGCACGGTCTTGATGCCTAAATACAGAGAGTAGAAGCGAACCGCAGCATGGGTACACCATAGCGTTAATCGGTTTGTGTCCGAAAGGATTGTGTGTTTATCTTGTACTCTTGTGGTCGCCGGTTAGAATCCACTTAGTATGGGTGACATCGCAGAATAGTCATATCAAATCACAAAAAAGGTTTATGGGTTCATTTTCAGCATTTATACCATCACTTTGGGTATACTGGACGACAATAAGAATACTATAAACATAAGTGGAGAGCAAATAAACAATGTGCACAAATTTCACTTCAACAGCCCCTTACGCATCATGCGCATCATGGGTTTAGTTCGGTCAACAAACAAACGTGACAGACAAGGCATGACAGTGTTATGATACGATGAAGTGCTGAAGAGTAAAGTTCTGTAGTTCGAACGCGTAGAACAGAAGGATAGCGATTTTGATAGTTTACTCTGCTGTTGATGAGATCGGATAGATAGTAAAGAAGAGACATGATTGCAAGCATCAAGATGTCCAAAAATGATAACCTCAAATAAAGAATCTCTACACAAGCCGCTACATCCAAAAATGTTTTCTAACGATCATGAGTAATAAATATAATCATCCTGAAGCAGTCCGGGAAAGATGACAAGGGACAAGTATAGTCAGTGGGGTAAAATGTTTGAATTCACAACGCTAAACATTACAGTACGAGTACTGAAAAATCTTCAGCGTAAGGGCATAAAAAATAACGGTTTCGGACTTTGTAAAGTTTCACGTATGGTAATGCACCAAGAGAGTTTTTCCGACAAAACGAAACTGATATATTTGACCATGGATAATTTGGGCATGGAATTTTTGTTAAGTTAGATTGGGAGATATATCTATGAGGGATAGTGAAATATCTCTACGAAGGAAGATATTACATTACTGCGTTTAGAAGCGTTAGGGCTAAGTGATCTAAGTGATCCAAATCTTCTCATCCATGTTGAAGTGAACAGAGATCTGGATAGTGGGGGTCATACAATTCAGCACAACACCGTCGGCATATTTACGTTCTAAACCCGGATAGTATATGGCGAAACTAAAGAGAATAGAAAGGGTGGTATGATGTGGTATGATCTCTCGCTGCAAAACTCATGGAGGATACCAAACGGCTTAGCTATTAACTTGGTGTAGTGAGTACGATCCGTAAAATAGTCCGGCAACAGATTACGCACACCCGGGTGAACTGCATTCGCGGATTGCAAGTTGACCTATCCAGACTTCTAAAGGCCTTCGCATAATTAAGGAAGAGAAGCTGCACGGATTTACTTTTTTAGCCTAGTGCAGACGTTCTAGTATTAACAAGATGTGTCACTGCATCTAGGGTTGAAATCTGGGTTCTGTATGCACAGTTTTAGACACCGTCAGCGGAATGGCTGTAACAATCCGTGGAGTTACCAGTTGTTCGAATGCTTTCAGAAGCACAGATGTACACGTAATCAGGCGATACATTTGAGATCCATTTGTGTGTACTTGGGTTCCTCTGGCTGATTTCAAAATGTCTGGGTTCCTTTCCATAATGAGGCATTTTGGAAAAGATCTGTTAAGTGTAGTGTGAGGGAATCAGCACAAACTTACAAACTATGGGTGAGAGAGCATTCAGACTGCCAGTTTTGCTTAACCTTAATTTTCTGACTTCCTTGTGGACATCGCTTGGGTCGAAGGGCGCAGGTGAACTTCAGCTGGTGAAAAAGAGAAAGGGGTTGCACCTAGTGAGGTGAAGGTAAAATCAGAATTTAGTTGGTCCACATCTACTGCACCTCGCTAGTTGCAAGCACTCTCACCAGAGCTCTTCGAAAGCCTCCATAGATCACGACAGATATGATTGCTCAGAACCACTTCGATGTATAATTTGTTTAGCCCCTTTATCTCGCAGTTATTTGCTGAGCTTTGGCTCTTGACGGAGGTGAATATTCCAAATTTATGAGCACTTTTTCATCACTTCAGCCGTGGTGATGCTAATCTATCCGCTCTTACGCATATTGTTTCAACAGAAAAACACATGCCAAAACAATATTTTATTTAGTCCGTAAGATGGTCACGTTGAATCGATAAGTCCTCGTTGCTGAAAACTGGAAAATCAGTTTAAAGGAACATCCACTAGAGCTTTGTGAGATTTTCAAAAAAGCAATTTCGCCTTCTGATTAAAGTGTAAGCACGTGTAGTCAACATGCCAAAACTAGATCTGCTGTATATTATTGGACAAGATTTTAAAACACAATGGTCTGAGTCACTCAAAGAAGCCCGTTTTTGCATGGAAAACAATAGTATTTTATTGGTGTAAATAGTGTCCAAATGAATATTTTGTCCAGTGGAAATTATCGCTAGATATACCAATACAGGTGTTCTCAGAAATGTTGTATTCTTTCTATTGGAGTCGCCAAAGACAAGGCAGACAGAACAATCTACTTTCTGCAGTAGCACTAAAATACTTGGTCCTCAGAAGCCTCAAGCTTGACGCGATGGAGCAGAGGTGTCAGGAGCAATCTAGTCGTGTTCATCGTTAACCGCTAGAAAAACACCTTTGAACTTCGGTTTGCATTTAATTAAATGCCAACTTATAGATGCTGTTGCATAAGTGGATAGTAAGGTTGCTAAATTACACCAACCTTGGTTAACGTAAGTTTTAACGGCACCAACACGAAACTGGCGCATTGTTTGGCGGTCAGTCCTGATGGAAACATAGCTATGGCGCTGAATAACTTCATCTTCCATATCGGTACACAACCAACTCTCTTGTTACGGAATGATTCTTGTATTTACATACTCGCTTCGCTGCATAAGGACACTGAGTTTACCGATGTTACCAAGAAGCGAGCGCACATTACTGGAAAGTATCAGTGGGACTTGCGCACTATCGATAGTGCAACGACTGAGGCCAGATTGCCAAGCAGCATAAAGCCTTCGCGTGTTTTTCAAAACTTCTTCAAAATTCGTTCAAAGATGTTCGTGACTTTGTGACCATATTGGATGACGTTATTAAAAGATTGACGGAGTACAACATAAATGACCTTGATACCTGTTATTAATCAATTGTTTCTAAAAAAAACAAAAGAAATAGAGCATCCGCAGCTAGCTGTGTGCAAGAGCATCCTATGGGAAAAGCAACGGCCAGAATTGAAGTCCTCGAACCAGCCGTCGCGTGACTGATGGCCGACCAGCGGCAGCGATGCGTCCGTATGGTGATTTGGCGAGAAGTTGACACCTCTCTTGTTCTTCTTCTTTGTGAATGTTGCTAAGTCTTTAACGGACCTAAGGTAGTCAGTAAACCAATTGCTTGCAGCTTAAGAGACCTGTGCAATGGGTTCATTTCAATGCTTGGCAAGGCTCTAATTACTCATTTCCAAGAGCATAAAGCAATTTATTTTATGACACTTAGACCCTGTATTGAGATACACATGGCGACGGGTAGGTGGAACACTGTCCTCATATACCAGCTGCGTGTAAGTAGTTAGTTGCACATGTAAACATTCCAACTCATCGATACTCTTCGTGCACATCCAACAGTACCAACTTAAAGTCCGTTATTTCTCAGTATTCTAACAAACGAAAGTAGCAAATGTATGAGTTACCATGGTAATAATGTTGCTAAAAGGCGGTAGACGATAATCATGCAAGCGTCGATAGGCCGCTAGACCGCTAGCCAACAACAATAACTTGAGCGTCAAGTGCCGTAGCTAACCTGCACTTTGATCTGAGGGTTGATGAATGGAATCTTGACGGGACAAAGTTACGCTAGCAGTGGGGTGATAATAATTTACGCGGTCTGCAATATGGTTACGGAAAGACAAACTCAAAAATAGACGTGCTAGTAGACTGAAAGGCTGTACTTTACTCATCGGAGCTTTCACATATACACAGAAGTAAATTTGCCAGCACAAAATCAACGGAGAAAACAGAGGAGCTTTTTAGTCGGTTATGTTAAGTCTCCAAATTGGTACGTAAAATAGCACTTAAACCAAGTGTGTTAGGATACCAAGTTCGTTGAATACCACCAACTAGAAGCAGAACTAGCGACGTTTGGAAAGAGGTGAGACATCCGCCGCAGTCGAATAGGGATGATATTTCGGTGGCATTTCGACTGTTTAGAGCGGTCGGCCAACATTATCCTTTGGCCCCTATTGTTGGTCATTTATCTGTTTCATGAAGTGGCGGGGAACATAGCCCGCGTTTTTTTAAGAACTCACTCTGCGGACAACAATACGAACCAGTGCACATACCATGAGTTCTTATTTTGAGTTGGTATGATTGTCATAGTGCTCCCACCAGGGCCGATATGCGTGGCTGACGCATTTCACATGCGGCCACAAGTGTAATATGAGAGTTTGGGAGTAGCTGGAAGAATCGAATCGCCAAATAACTTTTTCTAAGAGTTTTAACATTGGTCACATTGTTGATGTTTAAACTGCTTTTTGCAAACGACCAAAAGCAATTTACCCGAGCACTAACAACTCAACTTTACAGCAAGCGAGCTGTGAACCATGCTTCCGCCTCAATTATGAACGCCCGGAAGGTGGATATTCACAACTAGTTCACCTGGTGTGATGTTAGAACATGTGAAGTAAAGTTGGCACAATTCGGTTGAAGTGGTAACACGACTGCACGCAAAAGGTAGAAGTGCTGTAATTCCTGCTATTCAAATTCACACTGAACCTGAAGTGAAATTTTGCAATCTTGGTTGCTACTATAACCGTCCGGTAGCTTCTCTTTTATTGGAATCTGTCTGTAAATAGTCAGCAGTCAAACTTGTTTTTTCTGGCCTCGATGACGCATAAGCGAGGTCCACTTGTAAGCTGTTGATAAACACACTGGAACAAGCACTCCTTCAAAGAGTCCAATCAGTTCAGCTACTTTTTGTATGTGATTTCCAAGCAAAAAGATGCATAGACTATAGCAAATATCTGCTATTTTTGTGAGGATATTGTCACCAGCTCTGCATACACTAGGTCACAACGGGGGAGCAATCATTCTTCGGTAATAGTCTAAAATCGCTTACCATATATGTCATTGAATTAAGGATGATACTTATAGTAAATCTCAAACCTTCCCTCTTCCTGTGTTTTACAACTTTGTATTTCATTGGCTCTTATACCGTGTAAATGTCTATTTGTTTGATTGATTGTTAATCCCGCTCACCTGCAATTCCGCAGTGACGTGCTGCTACGCTACTCTCTGCTGTCGTTTACCCGCTCTCCATTACTCGTAGTTCTTGTCAATACACGTTGGGTCTGGTCGCTTTATTGTTCTCCGTATTTTAGTACCTGTCACGCATCTTACGCATCATTGCTTGCGACTAGTACCTGGGTAGCACCCCAAAAACCTAACGAACACTAGAGAAAAGGGTTCTGACAGGATCTGTTAGCACTAATTGCATCTGTTGTGTAGAGAAACACTTAGTGGACATAATGAAAACGTGCTAGGCAGTATTATAGCTACATACTAGGTCAAATTGAAAGACATCAATATTGCAATTAGCATTTACACTCAAACTAGGAGTCCGTTTCTATGACTGAAAGGCTCAATTACTTCCGCTACTTTCGGTTGTGTTCGTAACTGGTCACCTGAAGAAAAATTAATTTCTAGGTTTCCACACAGAACTTCATGGCCCCACTGTGATTCCCTCCACCCTAATTAGACGTTCTCTCGTTGTAAGCTATGTTTATAATGTACTAACCATAACAAATCGACTAGCATCTTACAACCTCCTGGGAGGCACCTACCTCCATTCCATCCTAGCAAACGTAAGAAAGTTTGCCCATAAATTTAAAATCACTAACCAGCTAACAACTTGTGTAGGCAAACTGATGCCATGCGGAAATCAATGCATGAAAATCAAAAGAAGAATTACAGAAATAAGACCAAATATTCCTACTTTATCGGTTGCGTTCGATATAGTTTAATTAACAAAAATGCGTACTAGAGAATAATAGATTTTATTCCACATCACATGACGTCACTTAAGAAAAGGATTTAATTTGGAATGAAACCATTCCCCTCTAAAATATTCCACGACATATGGAAGTGCACGCTTATTGGGAATATTTAATCATAACCCTGAAGCCAATAGGTTTGACAGTCGCTATGATTGATAGAACTTGCTATGTTACGTCGATGTGCCTTTGATTAACAAAAACCTTAGTTTAGCAAAGACACTAACAAACATCACTTCCTGTGGACCAAATCCAGCCACCAAGCGAGCGAATTTGAATAGGCTGACACATAGTTTGTTATGTGCTTTGAAAAATTACTGTGAAAGATACGGTAGTAATACTGGGTAGAAGAACAGTGGATTCTAAATAACAAGGATTGCCAACTCGAAAGCAATGGTAGGTTCGATAACATGTTTGTAGAGAACCTTTGGACATCGTGATCACAATTCCCCTCCTTATTCCCTTCCCCTACCAAACATTTCGAGTATAAATCCTCATTTCTTCTTGAAACCCAGTCTCCTTTATTGATCCCGTCCTACTCTAGCCAAAAATGTTATCACATCGCATTCACATTATTCCAACTTGCTTCTGTATTGTCAGTGCCTGCACCGATTCGCATTTTTTGGTGACCAATCCCCACCAATTATGCCTGTCTGATGATCTTTTGCCCCCACCGGTTATGGTTGCCTGACCGTTCCTTCTTTTGTGTATGTGCATCTGTGACTCAGTTGATGAACGCTCTAAACAGGTCG